AAAAAAGATGATCAACCCACACTTCAAGTCCCTGCTTGGGGCTGGTGGGGGGAGAGGAGGGACTGGGCTAACAGTACATGATGGGGGGGTGGTGGAGACCCCCCACAGACATGGAGCAATCAGTCCAAACACGAGGGATGCACAAGGGCCTCCCCTCTGGGGCCAGAACCTGCGGTCACGATGCGCTACCTGGGAGGCGAGCAGGCGTGGTGCCTGCAGCTGCTTCTGCCCTGTGAAGCGGCGTCCCCCGAGGGAGGAGTCACGGGGCGTCACCTGTTATATGTGAACTCCACATCCATAGGCTCAGAGTTGTACGCTCGCTCAAATTCGGGGTTCAGCTTCAGGGTCACTTCTTCCTCGTGGATCTAAAAAGACAGAGGGTTTCAGCCCACAGGGCCCTGCCTCCCTGGCATAAGCCCGCACCCGTCCCAGCAGCACACAGCCAAAGGCCATCCCCGAGGTTCTGGTTACGTCCGGTGCCAACCTCTGTAAGAAGGGCGGCAAAGGATTTAATCATGATGCCAAGGATACAAACAGGGCTGGGCCGGGCGGGGGGGAGAGGCAGCTCTTGGCAGGCTGACTCTGGAGCTCAGCACACCACCAACAGCAGAGGAAACACAATCTCAGGCCCTGGAGTCACTGCCGACTCCTAGTGACCCTGTAGGCCACGGCAGAACCGCCTGTGAGCAGCAAGTTCTGCTGGTCTCCCTGCTGACCCCCAGCCTGCGCCAAGCCTCGGTATCCGCTCTCATGCCTCTCCTCCTGGGACCTGGGACCCCTCGCTGTACACTTTTGGTTTCACCCCTGCCCAGGACCCAGCAGCCGGCTGGCATGGCCATGACACAGTTAAGGGCCAGCACCTGCAGTTTTCCTGGCAGGACGCGGGGATGTGGGTGGGTGCCTCTGAGGTGGGTCTTGCTCTGCTCTGCAGGCTGCATGCTCCTGGGCAGGCAGTGAGCAGCTGTCTGACTACGGGGTGGAGGGGCAACTACTAACTGTCGCTGTGTCCCGTCCCTCCCAAGACGTGCTCCCAGAGGTCAAGGTGCCCACTGCGTTACTCCTGAGACCACAGGGCTCCTCAGCAAATCCCCCACCCCGCCACAGCTGGGTTCCCACGGCGGAGCCTGGGCATCTGAGGGCGCTGGGGCTGTCCGCACCTTTCCACTGTCCCACACCCCATGCCACGACCTCAACTTCTGTCCTCACCCCAGCTTGCAAACCTAGCCACTTCTCCAACAGCTCCCTCCTCTGGGTGGCAGTGCCCCTGAGAGCTGGGTCTTTAGAAGTGTCCTGACACGCCCCCCTGCCCTCCGCCCCATCCCCAGGAAATCAACCTACTGCCACACTGCCACATCTACTCTGCAACCTTGTACAGCCCAAGGCCTAACCCACAAGCCCAGCAGCAGTTCCTGCTGGCTCCCTCCATGGTCCAGTCAGCCTGCAACCCCCCACAGCTCCCTCCAGGAGGCACTCAGGGCCCTGTCTCTCACTTTGCAGAGATAAGGACATCACAGCATGTGCCCGGATCTGTCTCCTCCCAAATGAAGGCATGTGCTGCCACCAAGCCCACCGTGGCCGACAGCCACCCTGGCGACAGATCAGGACAGCCCCCGTGGGTCTCCACTGAGG